TAAACAAGAATATGTAGAATCGTAGTTCTCTTTTTATGTGAAAACAACGAGTAATCTTCTTTAGTTTGTGTGAACCCGAACTGTCGAAGTGCTGCGGAGAGTTTAGCGAACCAGCAGCGAGGTGCTTGTTTTAGACCATAAAGTGACTTCCGAAGACGGTATACTTTAGTGGGATCAGAAGTCTTGAAGCCTGGAGGGAGTTTCATATAAACCTCTTCTTCATGATCACCATGCAAAAAGGCATTGTGCACATCCATCTGATGAACTTCCTATTCTTTTGCAGCAGCTACACTGAAGAGATACCGAACCGTAGTTATTTTTGCAACTGAGGCAAAAGTTTCATTAAAATCAGTACCCTCTTTTTGTCGATTTCCACATACCACCAATCGAGCTTTGTAGCGTTCCAGTGTACCATCAGAGTTCCATTTCAACTTGTAAACCCATTTACAGTTTATAGCTCGCTTGGCTGGAGGTAGAGCAGTGAGATCCCATGTATGATTTGCTTCGAGAGCCTCAATTTTTTTCTGCATTGCTTCACACCATTCCTTAATACGAGCAGCATCTTTAAAATGCTTTGGTTATGTGATGTCCAGTACCGCGGCCATGAAAGCGATATGATTCGCTGAAAAACCAGAGTCAGTCAAACGTTCAGCAATGGGATATAAGATCTTACCGGAGACCGTTGACGAGGAGATTGATAAAGAGAAGCCAGGTGTGAGAGCGTGAGAGGACGAGGAGTGTACGTGTGAAGTAACATAGTCTTAGACTGATGGTTTCTTGGACCGATGTCCACGACCCAAGAGTGGTTGTTCTGGAACTGTAGATGTAGTAGAATCAGAAGGTTCTTCATTAATAGGAATCTCAGTAGCTGTAACCGCAGGAGGTTCAACTGAAACTGGTGGCGGATGAACTGAAGGAGTGTCGGGAGCCACCTCAGTCAAAATAGTAGGAGTAGGAGAAGGATGGACATGTACGATCCAGTCAGTGTCAACTGTCTCCACGGAGGGTATGTGCGTCTGTTGAGAATCGTCCTTCATGTCCATGTAGGGAAACACATCTTCTTGGAACTGGACATCGCGAGTAATAAAGAATTTTCCTGTCACAATGTCATATAGGCGCCAACCTTTCTTCCCATATGGATAGCCTACAAATATACATATTTTGCTGCGAGTGCCAAACTTTTCTTTGTCTCTAGATCGAACATGAGCGTAACATACACAACCAAACGTTCGCAACATCTCATACTTTGGTCGAGACCCAAAAAGTACCTCATATGGAGTTTTCCCTTTCAAGACAGAGGACGGTGTGCGATTAATCAGATGTGTTGCAGTAAGAATACTCTCTCCCCAAAAGTTTACCGGCATGTTACTCTGAAACAAACACGCACGAGCAATGTTGAGAATATGACGATGTTTACGCTCGACTCTGCTATTTTTTTGAGGAGTATCGACACAAGACATCTGATGTAGGATCCCCTGCTCTTGGAAGAAGGACGTAAGGCACATAAATTCGTTCCCATTGTCACTTCTAAAAGCTTTAACCGGTTTACCAAATTGGCGATCAGACATAGCACAGAAGTTATGAATCAAGTCTGAGACTTCAGACTTAGCCATCATGAGGTAATTCCACACCGTCCTAGAATAATCATCAACCAAAGTCAAAAAATAGTTTGCACCACAAGTAGAAGGAGTTCTGTAAAGCCCCCATAAATCCGCATGAACAAGAGAAAAGCAATCCAAAGCTTTATTATTACTATCATTAATAACTTCTCTTGTTTGTTTAGCTCGAAAACAAATATCACAACTCTTGATCTCTCCAAAAGCACTAGAGGATTGATCACATTCTGGTAAAGAAAGCAAAACACTAGCAGATGGATGTCCTAATCTACGATGCCATAATACTCCAGACGACTTGACCACTCTTGAAACCTTGTGAGCACGAGCAGCTAAGACACCCGTAAAATAGTACACTCCATCACGCTCTTCACCCGCTCCAATCAAAGTTCTCGAAAAACGGTCCTTCAAGAAGCACAAGGTGTCAGTAAAGATGGCAACACAGCCCGTCTGCTTCAACAACTTAGCCACAGAGATCAGAGTTCAATCAAAATCGGGTACATATAACACATCATCGAGCAAATAGTTTGAAATAAGCGGCAAACCACCACGTTTTGTTGCTCGTGAGCCATTCCCATTAGGGAATTTAACTGGAAACAAGGAGATGTCCACCACGTTTATCAGTAAAGACAAGTCTCCCGTCATATGATGCGAGGCTCTTGTATCAATAATCACATCGGTGAGTTTTGTTTTACCCGAAATTTTTTATGAAGAGGTGTGTGGTCGCTGTGCTTGGAGTAGCTGAATCAACTGTGAAATCTGGTTATTGTTACCATCATTGGATCCAGCACGTGCACTGTTGACTCGACCACGTCCTGTTCCTTTCACTCCACGACCTCCTCGTTGAACTGGCTTGTTGTCTCCGTTTGGAGCACGATGTCCACGGTTCACCAATTGTTGGTTTTGCTCGAAATACCTATCAGGATAACTGTGCAAGAGGAAGCATTCAAACACCTCATGTCCTTGACGACGACAGTGAATACAAGAGAGACTCGAACGATCTTGAAATCTCTGCCCCGAAACCGCAACGGCTTGAGGCGACTTTGTTTTCACAGAAAAACCGATTCCCTCTGTTTTTGAATTTTCCCACGTCTGAGCTATGTTTTGATTTTGCTCCTCTCTAACTACCCGTGAGTAAACTTGGTTCAGAGGAGGCAACGGATCTTCACTGGTGATTGTCAGCCGTATGTTGCTGAACCGGGGAAGATCGAGACCAAAGAGGAACTTGTGAACTCGATCACCTTCTCGTTCTTTCAATATGTCTGCTGCATCTTCACCTGTACATGCCTTAGTTGTGTTGTAGTTCTGCAGTTCTTCCCACAACTTTGTCAAGCCTCCGTAATACTCCAAAACTGGCTGGCCGTTTTGCCTGCAAGATGCAATCTCGTCTTTAAGTACTTGTTTTCTGACTCCGTTACCGACTGAAAACTGAACTCGAAGGCTTTCACAGAGCGTTGCTGCGTCTGATTCATTAGAGATAGTGGAGCGAATCTTGGAGTCAATGGAGGTTCGAAGCCACCCGATGATCATTGAATTTGCATCAAGCCAAAGACTGAGATCGGACCCCTGAGTTGGTTTCATGAGGGTCCCATCAATGAATCCCCACTTTTGTTTTGCTTGCAGTGAGTTTCTCATCTCCGTTGCCCATTCTGGATAGTTATCTTCTTTCAGCACAATAGAGGAGATTAACGCTCTTATCGGAGGGATGGAGACGAAGTTGAGGATTCGGCGTGGCAGCAGCAGGTGTGATTGCTCCTGTTGATTCCAACATGGTTATGTTTTTCGTAGAGGGTAGAGGAAAATAGAGTGCGACGGCGGCTTTGACAGCGGCGGTGGCTCTCAATCAACAGCGGCAGCGGTGGCACAAGTGCGACGGCGGCGGCGGTATTTAAATTCTAGGCCAAAGGATTTTATACTCTGATACCATGAAATCTTCTAAAATTCCTTGCTTTATTAAGTCTTCTCTTGGCAAAATATATATACATCGTAGTTTCCTTTTCTAAGAGGAGTAATGCACAAGCATCATATTTACAAGATATATATACATATATCATAAACCCAATACTGAACCTCTGGTTCCATTTTCAAATTTTACCTTTTTAATATTTTAATAATTTTTTTCGACCCAATTAATAAAAAAAATAAAAAATTGATCAATTGCGGGTCGCAACGTATCAGTGGAATCCGTGTTTGGTTTAAGAGTTACTTATTAAATAAGGCATTTAGTAACCGAATTCTTAACTGTGTCATAGGACTTATCTTTATTTTAATTTTTTTTTTATGAATTCCCTTTCTTGCAATAGAGTTGGTCTTAATTTTTTAGAAAGATTTTGTCTTAAAAAACACGTATCAGTAGGGCCTGAGAATAGTGTAAAAAATTTCATTAAAATCGATTTTTAAATAGTAGTTTTTTTAACTGATTTTTAAGTATTTTGTGGGGATCAACACACTAAAAATCCCACTAAAATCTCCGGATAACATGTTCTAAGTAAACAATGATTATAGGTTTATAGTTATAGCTAATTGCAAAAAAAAATGATTAGTCTAGCTATAACTTATAACACTATCACTCACATATCAAAACTTGTATATGGTGTATCCATCTATGAAAATATACATAGACTTAGGTTGTTGACATCATCAATAAGATTTTGATAAAATATATATATATATATATATATATATCAAATTAAAATCATGCAACATCACATAATAAGTCATTTAAGATTAAAAAAATCATCAATAGAAATTAACAACAATGAGTATGATTATCATTTTGTCATTTTGCCATTTTGCGTGAAAGTTCTACAAAAAAAATATTAATATTAATTCATAAAATTAGTAAAAGTTCTACAAAAAATTATGTTTTCGTATAAACATTAATAAAAGTTGTACAAAAATATGCCATTTCATATTATATGCCCACGATATGGTTTGAGTGACTGTTTACCCTCTCCACATGCAGTGAAAGAAAACTAGAGCAAAGACAAAAAAAGTTTCAGAAATTTGTAGTTGTAAAAGAGAGATCATGGAGAGAGGTGGGAACATTTCAGAGATCTCTAGTCTCAGTGTTCTTAAGAGGACGCAGAAGGCGAGAAAGTTAGGGCTTATATAAGTTCTTGTGAATATGGTGCAGATGCATATAGCCTAGCTCAGCTGGTGAATAAAAGCAGTTCCAAGGAAATAGATGACGAATATGATTCCTTCGACATTGGAAGCTACTATTGGCTATGGTTCTAATTCTGTTTCTTTTTTCATTGGGTGAAGTTTAGAAGAAGTGAAATCAATAAAAACAGTTCTTTACTTATTAAACAAGGCATATATTAACACTCAACTTATCCATTCATACAAATTTCTAGGTTTTTGAATCTTTCTTCAGCTACAGATTTAGTTTTGCTTTCTTGCGGCATAGAGACGAAATGAAGCTAGCCCAACGATCACAGCCCCTGTACCAACTGTTAAAAAGACATGTTATAGGAATCCACAAATACTATGATGAAGTATATATAAGCACATGACCAGAAAAAACATACTTGAAACCACCAGTAGAGATCTTTTGAAAACATACTTGCGAGTCCTTTTCTTCTTTGACTCAATCTCTGGAATACCTAAATGAGGATGCTCGGACGCGGTTAAGATCTTTTGAAACAAGTTGTCGAAATCTCCTAGTTTGGAACTGATTAACGTTGGAGCTTCAATCCCTATATCTTGTGTAGCCTGCAAGAACTCATACTAATTTAAATTTATGATTACAAAACCCTTTTGATGATTACTAATCAAGTAGAATGATAATTATTACTCTGGTGGTTTTTTGAATTGCATCTTGGAATGAATCAAGGTCAGATTTAGCTGCAACCATTAGGCAAGGAAACTCAAAACCCGCGTCTTGGCTAGTGGTTGCAACCTCAACAAGCAAATCAGTGGCTCTCTTCCATGAAGACTCATTAGAAGAATCATAAACGAAGATAGCTACATCACATGCAGCCAACGCTTCATTTGATGGTAAGAGCCCATCTTCTTGAATATGAAGTTCCTTCAAAACTAGAGTTTTCTTGGTATCTCCAGTTACATCATCGTTTTCAACCATATTAACAGCATAAAGTTCCTCAGATCCATTGTTGTTGTCATCATCGAATGGCCTAATATTCATATAAATCAGACAAACATATTTTGACATTATACTGAGTTAAAAAAAAAAAGACAGACCTTCCGATAAATTGATTGAGCAATGCAGTTTTTCCAGCATTCTTGGGTCCAAAGACAAAACACTGCACAACTCTTCTTTCAGAGTTTTTCTCCTTGCGGTCTAGAACTCTCCTCCTAGTAACGCGAACTGCTGAAGATAGATCATGTTTGTACCAAATACAAATACAAATCAAACATTCAAGACTCCTAGCTGGATCTATTAGTGTCATCAATGACCACTGCAAATATAAGAAAAAGTTTCAAAGATTTTAGTTGAAATGGCTTCCCTCTTAAAATTGTTTAAAGACTTAGTTCTTGATTTACCAGTGAGAGGAAAGCTTCAAGTGTTAATCCTCCATCATCAGTTTTCTCTGTAGCATCTTTATAAGGAGCATCATTCCAAGGACTGTCATTAATGAATCAAATTAACCAATGTAATTACACATAAGCAAATAAAAAGGAAAAACATTTTATTCGAATTTCGCGCGCTTTTTCAAAGTTTAAAACGTTACTTTTCAGGTGAAGTTTGGAAGATAATTCCTATCATTTGAGGTCCCAAATTATTACCCTGAGAAAATTCAAAATCTGATGTTTGAGAAATATCGTAACTCCCACAAGTAATTCAAAATAAAAAAGATGAGACATTACATTGTCTTCATCCCAATTCTTGTACATTGCGCTCAAGTAACTAATAGCGTCATCTGTCAGCTCAACACTCTCCACAATGACACAAAAACAAAATAACCAAATCAGAAAACATCAGCAAAATATTAAAACTAGAGTTATGATATTTCTGCAGATATTTACCTGATCAGGCATGCGTTTGAATGATGAATAAGGAATCATATCATCTGCGAGTCTTAACTCGTTGTTATACCCGAATTTTCTAAGTATATTCCATACTTTTCTGATCCTTCCTTGTTCCAAAAGGTATGTGATTATAAACAAGAAACCATCTATTCTGATTCCATTTTTATCAACTCCTGATGGAGACCGTTCTTTCACAAGAGCTATAAGTCCTCTGCTTTCAGAAGGTGTCAATGGTCTACAGCAGCATCGAGCCTATTATATATTTTTTGTAATTTAGATCATTTATAGAAGAAGCAACTCAAAGAAACAAATCGAGGGAATAAGAGAAAAACCTGAATATTGTTTAACCCGGCTTCATTGAGAATGAGACCTTGGTCACTGGTAGAGAGTACATATACACGAGTTAAGGCAGCAACACAACGAGGCGTCAGTGAACTGGTTTCTGGATCATATAATGGTGCTATAGGATGAATCACAGCTTGTTGCGCATACAAAAACACCCTTCCAGCCTACAGAATTAAGCTTTTTGATATTGATCAGTATGGTTCATTTTCAAAATGTGAATGTTTTTGAAACACTTAAAAAGTGTAAGATCTCACGCACAACATGATAAGGAGAGCAGTCGAAACATGTCTCGATCTCTAGATATTGTTCCCTTATAGATGTCGTCATTAATTCAACGCCAAAATGAAAACCATACTCATTGTTGGTAACCGTGTGACCTGCCACTATGATAGGGACTCTCACCTGTTGAATACAAACGTGAGAAGACAATTAAATTCTAAACTTGACTCACACGCAAACTTATGAAAGAAAGGATGTGACTAAACCTCTAGTTGTCGAAACAGAGGAAGCCAATAGTCACCCAAACGCTCCAAAGTCTCAGGTCTATCGACTGAAAACGTCAAAACGATTGTATCTGCTTCCTTGACTTCCTTAACAACCTTTCCTCTATCTTCAGGTCTGCAAAGACAACAGTGTTACATGCATCCCTTGTTGATGTGAATATATACTAATCGTAAGAAATATTTACCTTGAAGAAGTGTCGACGATTGTAGCAGGAACAGGGTCAAAAAACCATTCACTAGGGAAAGTGGTGTAACGTAACAGAGGAGGGATGTTTGTATGAGGATGAAAAGATTCATTTGATGCAGCTATGATCAGACTTGTTTTCCCAGTTCCCTTCTCACCAACCACAACGATCCGAACCGGTTTTGGGGAGCCTGGAGAGCCTCCCAAACCGATCATCCTCATCATCTAAACATGAAAATACATTTCAGACATAAGCATATACATAAACCATGTAAGAAGACATTTTGAAAAGATCTGAAACAGAGAAGAAGGTCTACAATCAAACTAATAATCATATTTTAGAAAAAAATCTAAAGGCTTAAGAATAAAGTTTTAAGGTAGTAATGTATGTTGAAAAGGACAAGACTTTTACTCAAACCATATGATGAAATTACTGAAACAGAGGCAAAAACAGAGAGAGAGAGAGAGTAGATGATCCATCATAAACATGCATACTTTGAAGATCATTATGCAGATAAAGGCGGGATGATAAAATTCGAAAAAGTAAAACAAAGCTTGTTCTTCTCTTTTTCTTCTTGTTATTGTGGCTTTTTTTTTTCCATTTCATGTCTCTCTATATATGCACTGGTTGGATTCCGAGTAACGTTTTCAGTAAAATTAGCCAAGTGTCTCTTATTAGTGGATATGTTTGTTTTTCAACGGTGATATTGGCGTTTGTATGAAAGGATCAACGGACGAGATTTAAAATCTTTACGTGGATACAACTGGCCTCCTTGCTTGCTTGTGTTCTGTTTTTTACCTCTTTGGAGTTAAAAGCTTTTAATTACCTCTATTAATTTGAATACACTATTTTTGAAGAAAATCATATGTAACCTCTTTTTTAGAATCTAGCTTCTTAAACATTTCAAACATATAAATGTGAAGAAATCTAGAAAAGTAGGAGCAACTATGAATGTGTATGTTTATAGAGCACCATATTTTTGTTACAGCCATTACAATTAAGCCTTACTTGCTATTTTATTACATATTAACTACGTAAATAAAGAAACTTAAAAACGCGGTTAAATTTATTACACAAACTTTTTTCGCACGTAACTTATGTTTTATTTTAAAAAATTTCCATAAAAAACATATTCCGGCTTTTCATTCTAACTATTAAATTAGCTGTTTAGAAGTAATGAAACATTTTAATGAAGTTGAGTAAAAATAATAATCATAAAATTAACTTTTTTATAAATGAGTGAAATTGTACCACCCATTTTATAATATCGTAAACTATTTCAGAATTAAATAAATTTTAAAATTATCGTAAGTAATATGTTGTTTTATCTATTCTTATTTTAACTTTTGAATTATTTCATAAATAACTAGTTAAAATTAACTCATTTTTTACACCAAATAGTTAAAATTAACTGCTAAATATATATATGACACATGAGAATGTAAATATATATTTTTTAAAAACATGTAGATTTCTAAATGTACATTTAAGCATTTCTCTATCATTTTTATAAATTAATTTTCAGATAATGATTTTTAATTAATCATCAAAAACATCTACAAATTAATTTCTTAATTAAAACAAAAAAATATTCATTACCTAAACAACTTAAGATATATCCAATTTTACCTAAACAACTTAAAATATAGGGAAATAAATCCAATATTTTATTACAAAGTAATATTTCTTTTTTTCTTTCTTGGAGTTTGTAGTATCTAAGAAATACAGTAATAAAAGGGACACGTGGCATAACAGTTTTTGTTTTTGTTGTTAGTTTGTTACTGTGTTATGACTCTGAGAATGAAATTTAACTAACTGAAATTAAATGACATAAGATACAATTAGAACCCTACTGGAGATATGGTACGTGGAAGTGAATGCATTGGTGCATTTATTATTACCAGGTTTTATTTTTAGTAGATCATTAATGAATATACATATTTTAATGTAATTCTAGAAACTAATTATCTTAAGCTAATATGATAAAAATAATTTAATTTTACTGGATTTTATTTCTATTGGGCCAGAATATCTCACTTCATGAGCATAATGAGAACTCCGTTATCGTAAAAGCCCATCGGGCCGGATTAGTTCAGTTTCTCGGTCCACCTCGTTCTTCAGTCAGAGAGCTCCGTGATGAACGGGGAGATCGGGAAAGACTAAAGAGCATAACAAGATGATGTCTAGCGAGAACAAGACGGTCAACGACAGCCAGAAAGTCTCTGTATCTGTACCTGTAAGCTCATACGTTCTCAAATTTTATAGCATGAGCATATACGAGCGTGTGTGTGTGACTCGTCTGATCTAATATAGTTTCATTGTTTTGTTTTGTTTGCTACGGTCGTAGTCTGTTCCAGATCCAAGCCATGCCCCGGTTGAACTCTCTGGTAACCTACGAACTGCTCGAATAACTTGTTATGCTTATTATTCTACAGTCTTTACTTTACTAAGTTCCTTGTTTGTGGATTTGATCAGGTTCGAATGATAGGGATCATAAGTATCTAACTCAAGCTGTTGAAGAAGCGTACATTGGAGTTGAGCGTGGTGATGGCCGCCCTTTTGGAGCGGTTATAGTTCATAAGAACGAAGTCCTTGTGAGCTGCCATAATATGGTTTTGAGACACAAAGACCCAACCGCACATGCTGAAACCGTAGCCATTAGAGAGGTTTTGTAGTAAACACTTCAAGAAACAAAAATTAAAACACATAATGCAAATCTTTTTTTCTTACAATGATTTTTCTTCTACTAAACACAGGCATGTAAGAAACTAAACAATATCAAGCTATCGGAATGCGAGATTTATGCATCCTGTGAGCCTTGTCCGATGTGTTTTGGAGCCATCCATCTCTCAAGACTTAAGGTAATAATAATAACGGTTCTTCTTGTTTCTTCATTCTTTCTGAATCGTTTTCTTGATTGCTTGATGAAACAGAGATTGGTGTATGGGGCGCAAGCAGAAGCAGCTGTAGCCATCGGGTTCAATAGCTGCGTAGCCAATGGTGTGAAAGGCACTGAGCTCTTCCATAAGTCTAATCTAGAGATCGTAAAACTCGATGTGAGTATCGCTGAGCAAGTGTTCCAGAATACAAAGGGGAAGTTCAGTTTATAGTTAGAAATGCATTTGTTTATCACCTACACTATGTATGTACTCTCTTCTTTAGTGTGAACGATCTATCTATCTATCTATCACAGAAATTCTGTGACGTTGTTAGCTGCGATATTGTTGTGAGTCTTGTGACTGAGAGGGGTGTCACAGAGTTTGGCTTCTCTCATTGGTAACTTGACCGATGTTATACATAACATACTAGGTCTGAACACATTTAACCGGAACTGAAGATTCGTAACAAACTAAAATAATCAAAACTAAACCGAATTTCATAAATATTTGGATGTATGTTATATTTTTGGAACCAAAATTCGAAGGGAACCGCTTTTTTAAGTGAAAATCATATATTTAAAAATATCAATTATATTTAATTTCTAAATAATTAATGATCTCAAAATATTATTTATAAATTGAATTATTCAAATATTATTTTCTTCCACAATATATTTTTATTTGAACAATGTCGATAACCTGATTTAAATATATCTATCTGAATTATCCGATATTTTTATCCATATTGTCTAAAAATATTTTGAGAATCTGAACCAACTTTGAACCGAATTGAATTTAAAACATTTTCGAACTCTCAGTTTTACTGTTTGAACATAACTAAAACCAAACCAAACTAAATGTTATAAACAACCAATCTGTTTCTAAATCTCTAGAAATGAAAAATCAAAAATTGAAATAGTTATGAACAAAAAAAAATCAAAATAGTCAAACCGAAAACAGAATGTCAAACCGAAAGCAGAACACCAAGGCATAACTATACCAAACAGAGAACCGGAGCTTATAACGGTGACGTTAACGCCGTCAATGCTGACGTCTGTTTAAACTCCCGAGGCAGAAGATCATATGATCGCTGTCTCCTCTTCCCTCACGCAAGGAAACTCTCATAGTGTTAGGTCATCTAAGAGAGATGGTTGTTGATCTGGAATCGGTGTCAGAGGCAACCTCCGGAGCTATAGGGTCGCTTCTGAGCACAACGATCTTATATCCACTTGACACATGCAAATCAAAGTTCCAGGCCGAGGTTCGAGCTCAAGGCCGCCAGCAAAAATACAGGTTTATTCTTGATCTTTTTGTTTAGATGTGTACATGATTGTCTTCACCTCTCGCGGTTTTGTAAATGGTTTCTTTGTGTTATGATTATGCAGACATCTCTCTGATGTTTTGTGGGAAGCGGTTTCAAAGGGACAGGTTTTGTCATTGTATCAAGGCTTAGGGACAAAGAATTTGCAGTCATTTGTTTCGCAGTTTATTTACTTTTATAGCTATAGCTATTTCAAGAGGTTGCATAGTGAAAGAACCGGTTCGAAATCGATCGGAACAAAGGCTAACTTGATTATTGCTGCTGCTGCTGGAGCTTGTACTTCTGTCTTAACCCAGGCATGTTTGCTTTAGATGTTTTGTATCTTTTTTGTAATGATTTAATAAAAGCATTGTGTTATCTATTGTGTAGCCTCTAGATACAGCTTCATCAAGGATGCAAACGAGTGAGTTTGGAGAATCAAAAGGGTTGTGGAAGACATTAACAGGTGGTGCATGGGGAGATGCGTTTGATGGCCTAGGAATCTCTCTTTTATTGACTTCAAATCCCGCAATTCAGGTAGAGTTCACTTGAAATTTTTGTTGCTGGTGGATTTGGATTTTAGCATGAGTAGATGAACAACTTAGCTTCTCTGTGTGAGCAGTATACAGTGTTCGATCAGCTGAAACAGCGCCTGCTTAAACAGAACACTGCAAAAGCTGAGAATGGTTCTTCTTCACCCGTCGTGCTCTCTGCCTTCATGGCGTTCTTGTTAGGTGCAGTCTCCAAAAGTGTTGCCACTGTCATCACATATCCTGCAATCAGGTATTAAAATAATCTTGGGACAAGATTACTTATATATTTTTATTACACGTAGTGAATTATCATGTGGCCTATTCAGACTTGATGATCTAATATGTTTCTGTGTGTGTGTTGCAGGTGCAAAGTGATGATTCAAGCTGCTGGTGACTCGAAAGAAGACAAAACTAAGAAGCCCATAAGAAGGAGAGGTAAAACGATTCCAGGGGTTGTTTATGCCATATGGAGAAAAGAAGGGATGTTAGGGTTCTTTAAGGGGTTGCATGCTCAGATCTTGAAGACAGTTCTGAGCTCAGCATTGCTACTGATGATCAAGGAGAAAATCAGTGCAACAACATGGATTCTCATACTAGCTATCCGTAGAACTTTGTTTCTCACAAAGGGTAAGTTAAAAAGTCCTTAAGAATCTTAAATTTTGTTCCACGCAAAGCAAGGACAGGCTTGCAGATCGGTCAAGTTTTTTCTCTTTATGTATGATGCACGCTGGATAAATCTCGGTTTTGCTATCTTTACCGGAAATTTTTTTTTAGTACAAGCATTGTGTAGTATTCTCGTTCCAATAAAAGTGAGAGTCTTTTTGTGTAGAATCAAAGGAACGAAGTAAATGATGTAATAAAAATGCTTCTTAAGAAATTCAAGACTAATATGGTTATGGATTGAGATTCACTAATTAGTCTACGGACTATGATCTGAGATATCTAAAAGAACAAAGAAACATTCAATATAGATGTCCTTGGACTTTCCTTTTTTTTTTTTGATCAACATCCTTGGACTTTCCAAATGCATATATTGGGGGTTCTATCCTTGAGCTTCGGTAGAACCTCATTTAGGGGTGTTCTACAGACATCTATATTGAATGTTTCTTTGTTCTTTTAAACAACAAAATATATAAGGGTTCTCAAGAACATAAATTATGTTAGAAAGTATTTTTTCAAAAATAGAATATTTAATTAACTATGTATATTGTGTTCGAAAAAAAATTATTTATATAAATAATTTGAAACTTGTTGTAAAAAGCATTAATAGTTAAGTAAGAAACAATACTAAAATATTGTGTAACGCTAAATTAGTAATGAAACAACTTAAATCTGTATAAAGTTGACAAAGTTGTAAAAATTTTTAAAAAAAAAATTAAAAAGGGAAAAAAATAAATAAATAAATAGCTAGGACGAAGCTTCTAACCGAAGGAGAAGGTTACACTCTGGTTCCCATCAATACAAATCCCATTGAACCGGAGAAGTAATAATTTGAAGCCAAATTTTCGGTTTTAGAGAGAGAGATAGGAAACGGAGGGAAGATCGGGAAGCAAGATGATGACCGGCGGGAGCTACACGACTATCGACAACCAGAATGTCTCTGGATCTGTACCTGTAAGCTCCTTCGATTTACACTTTTCTCGATCTCAATCGTTATAAATTAGTATATGTACTCGTCCAATCTTCCGATCTGATCTAACTTCCATGTGTGTGTGTGTGTTTTCGTGTTTGAATCGTAGTCCGTTCCAGATCCAGGCCACACCACCGTTAAATTCGCAGGTAACATCGTCGCATTCTCTGAAAAATTTTCCACAGTTTCTGAGGTGAATTTGATAGATTGAGCGTTTAGGAAAGAACGAATTGATTTAGACTTGAGCTTGAGAAGAAAGCTATTTCAGTGAAATTTTGTGAAGAACTGTTATGGATTTTTGAAAGGATCTCTAGTTTAGAAGATGAATGGAATCTAGAGGAATCTTGTGATTGTAAATGTATTTCCTTCTCAAGGTTTTGATCTGACTTGGTTATTATGTTCATGCTAAGCTCTGATTGAAGGAAGCATTGTTGTTGTTTTTGCAGAGTCAAATCTTCAAACGTTTCCTCCATCTGCTACTCAGGGCAAGATCTCTGGTGGTAGTAACCCCCCTCGTGATGCTGACGGTATATATGATTCTCTCGAGCTTTCTTTGTTCTATATTATTAGTTAAGATGGTAGATTGAAGAATTTAGAATGTGATTTGGTATGTGTTATTATGGCTTTCTGGTGCAGATACATTTTCTGGGAATGGTAATGGTAGTACAAATGAGCCTCAGTCTGGTGGCTGGCTCCATAAATTCACTGTTGGTGCTTACAAGCCATTCTTTGATGTCGACACTTCCGATGTTGTAGACAGACTCAAAGAATCTCTCTTCCCATTCCGTGGAACATTCACAGAGAAGACAGCCGATAAGCCTGACCTGTAAGAGTTGTCTTCTTTTCTCAGACTTCTCCGAAGTAACTCAGATGTGATAAATTGATTTTGTGTATTGCAGGTATGGTCCATTCTGGATATGCACGACTTTGATATTCGTGGCGGCATCTATCGGCACATTTGTCACATACGTAGCTCACAAATGGAAGAAACAAGAATGGAACTACGATATTAATCTAGTGACTTGGTCCGCAGGAGTGTTCTATGGCTACGTCACGCTTGTTCCTCTCGCGTTATATGTTGTTCTCAAATACTTCTCTGCACCTTCAGGCCTAGTTCAACTCTTCTGTCTCTACGGCTATTCCCTATTCGTCTTTATCCCTGCATTGGTAACCAATACTTCTCCTTCTAAATAGAAATCGAAACATTCTGAATATATGATGAATGAGACTTTGACATGTTTTATCTGTTTGCAGTGCCTCTCTGTGGTGCCAGTGGAGATCTTCAGATGGGTTATTGCGGGTGTAGCGGGGTTCATGTCTGCAACCTTTGTGGCTTTAAACCTTAAAGCGCATATCAATTCAGCTGGAGAGAGATCGATCCTGATAATCGCAAGCATCTTTCTTTTGCAGCTAGGGCTTTCGGTTGTGCTGAAGCTCTATCTGTTCACCGTCACAGTATGATTCAGTGATTTGTAGATCCATCCATAAACGTTTTCTCCTCCTCAAATTTTATCCAAATTTTTGAACTGTTTGGAATCTGAACTCTATGAGTCTATTTCATTTAGTTAATTGAACCTTGTATGGTCTTACTTGTAGAAAATGTGTAATAAAAATATATCGATTTGTTTGCTGATGTGATGTTCAACAATGTGAAGAACTGAAAGGACCCAAAGAAGCTTTTTTTTTTTTATAGGATCGGTCTTACTCTTACAAGAGTTGTACCGACTACCGACACTGTAATCTTCACTGGAAAAAACAGACAAGTTTTGTAAAATATTCTTCTACTACATAACGCCAATAAAGAACATACTCAAAACGTCTTCATAACTTTGTTCGTTTTGACCCCAATAACTTAAGTTTATACACATAATAACAACAAATATGTTAGAGTATTCTGTATATTTTATGTAATATTACATTGATTACCTCTGATAAAACTCACATGTTTGATCATATATCCCTCAATTTCTTCTTTCTTTTGTTTTTTATTCTCCTCCCTCTCTCAATTTTATTTGATATATATTTTTACGATCAAATATAATTAAACAAACTAATTATGTTGGTAAGAACATATATATTTTTGTACATATATCATAACTTGAAAATTTTTAATTAGATTTTTAAATGTTGTTGAACAAAAGTTGTACTAAACTATATCTCAATCATATTAAAATAGAATAGTACATTTGATTTATACATTGACTAGTAAGTTGTGTGTATTTGGGTTTTCCAATTCCATGTTTTTATAATAGTTATTGTTTTGTTATAATGTTAAATGTATGCTCTGAAAGTCATGAGACGATTGCTTTGGTTGGAAATGTTATCTTATTTTAAACAAGGGCTTATGCCACCAGTCTCAATACATATTCCAAAATAATTCTCACATTAGAGAAGAGAGTGTACTTTTGTGAAGATGAGTAAACAGTTTTTTTTTTAAGTTATATTTTTACTTTCTTTCTCTATAAAATTGATTATGCCACCAGTCTCAATACATATTCCAAAATAATTCTCACATTAGAGAAGAGAGTGTACTTTTGTGAAGATGAGTAAACAGTTTTTTTTTAAGTTATATTTTTACTTTCTTTCTCTATAAAATTGATGTTTTGTGATGATCATAGGAATGCATTGTGCCTTGTTCACTACTGTTTTTTGGAAGGACACATACAAGGACACAAAGTAGATATGGAAGAGGCTGGCGAAGATCTTTCCCATGTTACTCATGTAGCTTCTTCTGATGTTGCCTCTCCAACGGACTCAATCTATGATGATATTGCTCGTATCACTTCATTATCTAAAAAAAAGATTCAAATAGTCATGTTTTTGCGGCGCAAAACCTTCACATGTATGACAGAAATATATTCATTTTTGTTTTTATGTTTCTTGTTATCCAAGAATACAACTAAGAATATTTTTGGATTTATTTGGTTCATACGTTAAAGATTTAAGTATGCTAGTTACGTTTCAATTTCTATTGCCTGTTTATAGTAGTTTCTTTCTCTTTTGCCTCAGATCCAAGAATCAAGGAGATCTGAGAAATCGACTTATCAATGGTTAGAATATGATGATCTTAGGACTCTCTTTGAGTTAATTAAAGAATTTGAACTCTACAACGGACTCGCTAATTTTAAGGAATGAATTTATGTCTACGAGAATGAGCAAAAATTTGATGCTATTCAGTGGAACTTTGAAAGTCATAAGACGACTGCTTTGCTTTGGTTGTAAAGTTTCCCTTGTATAACGTATGCCACCAGTTTCAATACATATTTCAAAATAGTTTTCACATTAGAGAGGAGAGTGTAGTCTTGTGAAGATGAGTAATTAGTTTAAAAGAAAAAAATCCATTTTTACTTTCTTTCTCTGTAAAATTCAATTTTTACTTTAATTCCAAAAAAAAATTCCCATCAAAGCTTTCTTAATTAGCTGAAAAGAAAAGATTATCACTGCTCTCTATAACGATTTTTTAACCTCTTATATGTATATTCTATTGTCATGATTTTGTCATGTCTGTGTTTGGTGGTTTGATCCAAAGAACTCAATTTTGGCCAAACACTGCGTCCACTTCTTTTGCCCCAATTACCACATGGGTTTTACCCTCACCAAGGGAAGCCAGAATGCAAGCAAGTTGATTAATTAGGATATGATAATGCTGTCGTACCTACTATAGAGGCGGCTGAAGAGTCCCTTTCAGTTTTCATACAACGCTAAATAAATATCCTAGTTTGTAGTTTCTAACCATTCTTTTTCGGAAATTGAGATATGTTATAAACATCATTGAACATTCCCACTAATTAAAAACATATTTTGTTTCCAATCCTCCATAGAGTTCTAAAAGAAAATAAGACAGCCCCAATAAAAAACATAAGACTTCTACTAAGACAAACATATTCATATTCGTTTTCTAAGCAAGAATACAAAAGATCACATGATACTACAACCAGCTGGATTCTCATCGCTGAACATATCAGTATAAGGACCCGAGTGTGGAGGTGGCATTGGCGGTGGATGAGCATAATTCACCGCCGGATAAGGCCGAGAATACATCATCGGATGGTACATGTCTCCACCACCGTGACCACCACCACCATATCCTCCATGAAATGCAGCTTGCTGTTGTTGCTGTTGTTGATGCATCATCATTTGCATATACTGTTGTTGGTTCATTGCCTGAGGCGGTGGTGGATAATATCCTCCGCCTCCTCCACTCATTGGTAAGCCTTGAACCGCCGGGAAAGCGCCGCCTGGGTGTCCCATTGGACCCATCATACCCATAGGACCACCTTGACTTATTGAACCACCCATCCCTTTGGCATTATGATTATGATTGCCCTTGTTACCACCTCCTCCACCTGCTTTGGCATGTTTAATGAACTCATCAATATCATGGGCCCCATGGGCTGCTCCTTTCGACTTACCTCCTCCCTTTTTAGGCCCATTATCATAATGATGAACTTCACCTCCTCCTTCCCCACCACCGGAGGACTTGACCTTATCACCACCACCACCTCCCTTCTTCTCATCTCCTTTTTCACTTTTACCCTTTTTGAAAAATCCTAGAAGGCCACCACCACTTTTGGCATCTTTTTTCCCCTTTTTGCCCCCACCTCCTTTACTCTCTTTACCTTCTTTCTCACCCTCTTTTCCCATTTTACCCTCACTCATCCCTTTCATTTTCACCGGGATCTCAAACCCACCTCCGCCGCCACCACCACCACCACCGGCCTTGAGACCATTCATCATCATCATAATTTCATTAGGTCCTTTAGGCCCACCACCGCCACCCATTTGAGGCATCTTGTTAGGCATCACCATCATCTTATTTGGAGGCATGTGATGATTACCTCCTCCTCCACCTCCATGACCATGACCTCCCATTTCTTCATCATCTTCATCCTCATCATCGAACTCATCATCATCATAATCATCTTCACTAAACTCATCATCATCATAATCATCGTCACTAAAGTCATCGTCATCCTCCTCTTCAGCAAACTTAACAGACTTCTTCTGATCCTTAGAAGCCACAGGAGGAGGCATCATCATCTTCATATCCTTCCCGCCACCACCACCGTGAGCAGCCTTCATCATCATTATTTGTTGAATTTGCTGAGGAGTCAACTGCATAGGTTGACCATGTCCATGATTCTGACCACCACCACCACCGTTAGCTTTCACGTTGCTCTCTTTTACACCTTTTCCTCCGCCGCCGCCACCGCCGCCACCGCCGCCACCACCGCCTATGATCTCGGCGTGTTTCCCTGACTTGCTCAGTTTCTTGACGAGAATAGATGGGTCGACGTTTCCTGTGACAGTGACTTTCCCCTGTTCTACATCTGCTTTTACAGAGTACACCCCTGATAACAAAACATGAGACCAACCCATGTCAGAATCTTTAAACAAAAAATATTGACCATGTCAGAATCTTCCCAACACATTAACAAGTTTCTTGCTTTAATCTGGGAAAAAATTAACTCAAAAATATAAACACAACCAATGAGGTAAATCTCAAAACTTTGAGTTCAGTTTAGCTATGTCAGATCATTTTTGTAGTTTTTTTTAACAAGTTTGCTGTATTTTTTTTAAGAAGCTCATCTCAAAGCTTTAGAGTCCATTGTTTTCAAAAATTATATGATGCGAGAGATGACAATTATTACACAACAAGGGAAACAAAAAAAGCAAAGACATTTCATAAATTTCAAACTTTTGTATATTTGAACCGACTTTAAAAAAAAAAAAAAAAAAACTTAAATATTCATAGATCCAGGCTTCTGAGGCAAAAATGAAATGACCATACAAAATGGGCACAAGGGGAAAAGAGAACAGACCTTCGATTTTCTGCAACTGTTTCTTCACTTTATGCTTACAGCCTTCACAGTGTACATTCACTTTCAGAACACAAGTCTGCAAAACTCAAATTCCCAGTAAACATAATTAGCATCATAATATATTCACACAATCTTCAAAAATTATGAAAGAAGAGAAGGGAGACGTATACCTGAAGCTTCATAACATCTTGTTTATTCATAATTTATCTTAAGATTTGTGGGTATAGAGAGAGAGAGAGTTTCCGTCTGAACTCTTCTTTCTCTTTTATCTCCTTTGTGAAGTGAGGAGAGGAGGGTGGTGGATAGGTTATAAGAAGGAGGGTATGTAGTGTAATAAAGGTGGTTGTTGTTTAAGGACAGAGAGACAGAGACACTGATAAAACACACACTCAAAACTTGTGTTTTGTTTTTAACTTTTAACTCTCTTCTGTTTCAGGGTTCTTTATGTCTGTTAGAGAGAGAGAGTGCGGTGGCACAGGTAGCAAGGTTAATTTTCCATTTTGATTTAATATCATTTTTAGTTACATTTTATTATTGTTTTAATTTTTAATTTTAATAAAGTTTCATTCTTTTGTTTTCTTTTTTTGGTACAGAGTTAAGGGACAGAAGAAGAAGAAGCTTAAAGGTAGCTTCGTTCACTTTAGCAGAGTGTTAAGTACAGCCTCGCTTCGTTTCTGTACTTAGCTGTATGCATCTTATGGAATAAGATTAGTTAACATGCAATTCGAATATTTAAGGTTCCTTAATTACACTACTGAGTTGTATTATGTTCTTTCCTAATTAAATTTGCTTTTATTCGTATATATGTAATGTTTGGTTTACATGTATGTAAACCGGTTTGAATAAGACTCAATAATTTGGGGTTGTTATCATGTAGTGGTTTTGTCTATTGTTCGATAAAAATCATTTATTAATCGCTATTTACATGTTGTCAAAATCTTGAATTTAGTCTGAATGGTCACGTAGTATATGCTAGTATCATTTGCTTGCGAAGTAGTTACACTACTATAATTCATGTATGACACTGATATTAACATGAAAATATCAGGATCGTAATAATGATTTGAGATCAATGATTTTAATGATCGTTGACGAGAGGGGTTAGGATCCAATCCCAAGCAAGAAAGGGTCTTTGTCACCATAATGGACTTGATTAACAGCATCACTTACGCAAACAATGCAACTATTGAATTCCAGCATTAATTGAAGACTCCTACTGTAATGGTAAAATATGCGATCTAGACCTTATGTATATATACTAATGTACCTCATACAAAAATGTTTCTCACAAATCAACCAATTTAAAACCTATCTTTAATTTAATTTGGTTCCTAGTGATTCACAACCCGGAAAACTTGAAAATCACATGATTGATTTAACAACTTTTGTTGTTGCGGATGCTTGACAAAATGTATACACAAATATAAGAATTTACAATATAATTTATATATATATACAATATAGTTGTTATTGATATATATATAAGATGGAAAAGGGAACAATAATGTTATAGATGAGTTTTAATGGGTCATGAGACAGGTAGGTCGCTTCCACTACTTGCTGTGGATAGAGCTCTCTTGGGCCAGCTTTCAACCACCAGTTAGCTCGAAACAAATAATTATTAATGAGCTATTTAATCATCTAGTTGAAATGGTTTGAGCTAGAAATAAAATTCAACTTAATTGTTAATGCATGTGACGCATGTGCACCACCTCAGTGAGATAGTATCATAGTAGTAAGCGATAGTTGTGCTTGTGCACATAACATAAATGGAAAAATAGTAGTAATAGTTTTGCGTTTGGTATCTTAAACTTTCGTATAACTTCGACCGTGTTTAATTAAAATAATCGCTATAATAAACGTAGATTGGGAGAGGCATACGGTGGATGTCCATGATAAGACTATTATTTAAAGAGAGCAAACTTAAAAAATGTTTTCTTTTGACCAAAGAAACTTATAAATGATTAATATTAATTGGTCTAGAAGTTGTTACATACTTTACGAACCTACGCGTACAAATTATAGTGACACACACTAAGCTAATATAGACTGGACCGTGTACGTCGCCGCAAATCGGTCCATGGCAACCTCAGAAGTCAATGATATTTCCACGACCAAAGAAAACAAATAAAAGTATAAAACACGCACAAATAGAATGAGGAAAATAAAAGAACAAATAAGATCAAATAGAATTTGTTTAAGAGATCTCTTTGTTTAGTGGATTTTTGAGCAATTATTTTCTTTGTCATTTCTTTTTTTTTTAGTTAATTACACGCTTTTATTCATATCACCGGTTTTATTCTGATTGCTTGGATTCGCTATTGTTAAATAGAGCTTTTGACTAGGGTTTTTTTTGCATGTAAGGATTATGCAACAATTCACTCATGTAACTTGTATAAGGAGAAACTAGCTAGGCTTTACTTTTCCTTTTATCTTTTCCATAAAATTATCACAATTGATATTTTTATTTGCTTTTAGTACCACTGCTAGACACATATGACAAGTAACTGTTTGGACTCGTTATAAAATGTGGGGTATTTTTGAAGCACATGCCAATGAGTATCAAATCGCAAACTGTAGTGTGTTGTTGACAAAAAATATACTGTTGTGTGTTTTTGGTTTATGTAGGCTGGACCTAACCTAAGTCCTCATCTACCCTATTCAAATCCAGTGTAGCAAAATTTGTATTCTCTCCATTTTCTTTTTAAGAATTTGCCATACTTTGAAACTAAATGTATCCTTCGTGGCGTGTATTAAATTCATGGCCTTTACAGGTTTAGCTTCTAACAAACTGACGGAATATCCCAGTGTTGGGTGATCTTTAATTATGGCTCAAATCTTAACAGCGGGTTTACGTATGTTTTTGTGATACGTGTATGTGTATCACGTGTTAGGTTTGAAATGACGAATGGGAAGAGACGTGTGAGAATGTAAACAAAATTTGTTAGTAGTCGAAATCTCAAAACACGTTACAAAATGCAAATGTTTCAACAGATTTGACTTTATTTTTGGAAACTATCTCTCAGAAGTAAGTGTGTAAATGATACTATCAATCTTTTTTTTTTCTTAGAAAGAAATGAAACTATGGATTTGCAGGACGTGAAACACATGCAAGAAAGCATTTTCGTCTCACTTTTCGAAATTATTTTTCTTAAAGTTAAAACAACATCATGATATATTGTTAACTTTTTGTTAATTAATTGATTACTCCACAAGTCAATCATACTATAAAAATCGACATCCCGTAAGAATAACCGATCGTTTGTGATGACAAAGACTAATGATATTTATACTTTGATGAATCTGAACGTCTAATAAATCATGAAATTAAAATGCGAAATACCAAAAAATAAAAAAGAAATACTATACAATAGCGTTGATTAATATCTTGGGGGCTTTTTGTCGATCGAAGGTGATGTTCCTCCACAGTCCACACGTTTCTAACACATGCATAAAACTGCATGATAGGTGTATGTCTTTTTCTATTTTAAAATTTTAAATCCATCACTAAATTTACATTCTTAGTTATAATATATATATATATATATATATATATAAGAACTAACATCTTTGGTAGTAAACCAGCTTTCATAACAAAAAAACTAGCATCTTTGGTAGTAAACCAGCTTTCACAAAAGAAACTAACATCTTTGGTATAATAAAAGAAAGCATGAGAGAGAGACACTCAGTAAGCGAAGATGTATTGTAAGGATGTCCACAGCTGGAGTCTGTGGACTTGATATCCAAAATTGGGTCATAAACTTTTAAGTACATTTTGACCCCCCAAAAAAAACTGTTAAGTACATTAGTTAGGACATCTCTATGGTATCTATTGATGCGTCTATATATATTATCAAAGAAAGGTTTGTAATGATGTTTGGTTAGGTAGGTACATATGCACTGAACGTTTGAGTTTATATGTATGTGTACAATATACATATATACCCTTGGTTGCAAGGACACCTACCTCTACATACGCATAAATGACAAATCACTAAAATAAGGTTGTGATTTTAGCGGTTCATGTTTTATCAGTATCTTACCGAGTAGTTTCACAAGAACGTTGCAACAAATTATAATGTAGATGATTTGCTAACAATTTTACCAGAGACAAACAAATATCGAGCAATCATATTCTGTAAGATCAACCTAAAAGAGTTATCCATAAAATCGGTTGGCAGCGAGCAATAGTATGAAAGTTAGGTGATGGGAAAAGATGTTAACTTTATTAAATGATTTACTTTTTTTTATTTACTTGCCTGGATTAAAAATCATATTTATCTTTTTGAATATATAACTATGATGATTGGTGATATGTAAATGATGGAGTTCTATAACTTTTTACTTATATATAAACTCTTAACATTTGGTTCCACCGACCCCATCTATGAAATCTTTTTTTTTTTGAGAAACCTATGAAATCACATTTGATCGGTAATTTGGTATTTATGGGAGAACCGTATCAATCAACTGTTCATAATTTTACATATATGCTCAAAACCCCTTTTCACAAAAAAATTGTGAACGGACATTTAGACTCTTCAGGATCAAACATAGACTAAAAACATCAAACTAATCCAGACAAAAGAGGTGTAATATTTTTTCTGGATAAAAATAATATTAAAACAAACTGCACAAACACACAAATCAAAGCCTCGTGTTTCATCGACCTTTAACTAAAATTCCCAAAAGCAAATTGGAATATTTTCTAGGTCAAACCCATAAGAGAAAAGAGAGTCAATCCCGAGGATCGAGAAAAGAGAAGTGAGGGGAAAATGCTTTATTGGGTTTGCCAAGAAGACATGAAGCAGGCTGAAAACATCTGCTTCCGTCCGAAAAAGAAGGAAGTCAGATTCCAAAACTGCACCTACATTGTTTACTAGCCACGCACACAGATTCATGTTTTTACTGTTTATGTAACAATCAATAACTTTGTATACAGCTTCTCATGTTTTAAATATTTTAACCATCTCTCTTCTCGTCCATCATAGTAGGCTTTCACTTTTGTCCCCCTCATGCTCCAACATCCGCTTTATTCTATACAATATTACAAAATGATAAGATGTTTGTTAGGAGCTAGTTAGTAAATTATTTCGATACAATACTGAAAGCGAATGGACCGGCAATATTTTAAGCTGATCAGAATGGTCTTATTAACGTGTGTTTTTGTTAGAAAAAAACAACTTTTACTTTTTCCAGGTTTTATTTTTCTGTTTACCCAATGCCTCCCATGACCGGTTTACTTACACTTCAAATATTCTCTGCATTTTTTTTACCAGTCTTTTGCGACTTTCATTTTTATGTATAAAAGGAAATAATGGGTAAATAATTCGAAGAGTGGTGCACAAAGTTCAAGAGTATGTGTCAGTGTTCGACAAGACATTGACTAAATCCCGAACATGTAAACGAAACTACAATTCCAAAATTGCAAATGCTGCGAAATGGTCGAATGCATTTAACACGTCTATACAGAGCAAACTGAACTTCTTTTTTTAGGTAAAATAAAGCAAACTGAACTTTTTTTTTTGATAAAGGGCTAAAGCAAACTGAACTTAACCAAATAAAACCTAATCCTTGTCTATAAACTAAGATGTCAGTCACCGTATGGTAACTATAGAACTAAATCAAACTAGTAAAAGTTCATTGGATCAGGCAGTTTCTTTACAGGAATCTTTAGACTTCATTATATTAATATTTATAAATTATTTAATTTTAATATGTAATACAAATATAAAAAGATAATTCATAGGGAAGTTTAAAATTTTTTGATTGTTGAAAACATTAATAACCACTACTCCCTCCGTTTCAAAATTAATTGTCATTCTGAAAGAAAAAATTCGTTTCAAAATAAGTATCGTTTTAGAGTTTCGAGATAAAATTTATTAGTTTTATATAATATTCTATTTTTCTATTGGTTGAAAAGTAGTAAGGTGTATAGATTATTATGTTTTTTCTTGAAAATATGTAAAATTAAATGTTTCCATAATCTGTATGCAAAACGTAGAATGACAATTAAAATGAAACGGATGGAGTATAATTTTACGGGTGGTATCAGCAAAACCCAGCAAAATACCAGCAAAACCAACCAAACCTTTTATTTTATTTTTTCTTTGAAAAAACCTTAATTTTACAGATACATTAAAATAATATATACAAAAGTTTATTTGAAATACTCTTTCGAGTTCCATGGATAAAGTTACTCTTACTATCTCAAAAAATTGTTGAAAACCCAGTGGTGAGAACCACACAATCTTCTTTTTCTACTTTTTTTGTATCTTACTTTTCATTTAGTAAGTTATATTTTAGAGAGAAACTTCTAGGAAATATCATCCGATGATATAAGCTTTGTGTATGTGTGTGTGACAGGCCCAAACCAAAAAAAAAAGCTAAACAAAAGTAGCAAGGCACGAATGTCAGCTCTTTTGTTGTTGTTCCTTCCACTTCACAACTTCCCGTGGGCTTTATTGGGCCTTAATTGCGTCGAGTTATGTTGAACTGAGTTTACTTGGCATCCAGATATTTGCATGTTATGCCTCTTGGAGTTACATGTTGAAATGAGTTTACTTGGCATCCATATATTTGCGTTGTTTAAGTATGAGCTAATAAGACGATCGAGTAAGATCTAAGAAAATGCATATGTTGCGCATAGGTAAAACATGTGAAAAAAATAGTTGTGTGCATTGATTACGTTACGAATTATATTATGTCCTTCTAGATTAAAATTGACAAATGAAACTTCATTTGCGCCGTGATCTGACCGAACACCTAGTGGCGGTCAATAATGTACATACATACCATTTTTGGGGGGTAATACTGTGTATGTAATATAGTGTGCCATTTCTTATTGAAATGACGATTATATTTCTGCAAAAAATAAACAAACTATATTCTATACGCTTATTTATTCTATCTTTACATAGCTATATTCTTTGTCGTCGAATAAGACCTTTTTTATATTTCAACAACTCAGAAACCTACCTGCACCACACCGCATTTCATTTTATAAAGCTTTTTATATATTATTTTAGAGAACAGAACTATTTTCTAGATTTGACTTTGATTTATATGTACGTTACAGAATTTAAATACAAAATTAACAATTAAAAATTAATAAAAAATGTATTGCGTGTCTACAAAACAAAAGTTGTAAAAGATGAGAAACAAAGTAGTAGCTACGGCTAAAGAAAAGTGAGCTAAACCGGTAACCTCACCGAACCGCTGGTTGATCCCCCTGTCCCGGTTGATTTAACCGAAGTTCCTTCGCCGTCTTTATTGACTACTCCTCTTGGCACATGTACCGAAGAGTTCCTCCACATAAACGACCCGTTTCTAAGAAAACCCCACCGGTCCGACCGTACCGAATCACCGGTTGAATTCACCACAGCATTTCCCCTAACGCTACCGGTAGCACCTAGCCTAATCGAACCATCATCCCTACTCCTCCACAGAAACGACGGCGTTTTACGGAACAACCAACGATCAGACCGAGCCCTTGACCGGTCAATCGGTTTACCTCTTCTGGAACTCCCTCCCCTAGAAAGACTATCCGACCGGTTTACCTTCCAATTCTCCATCATCCTCTTCCTCACATCTTCAGGTAACCGGAGAGTAAACCGCTCGGTACATTCTCCCGGTTGAACCACCGAATGTCCCGTAGTATGCGATCTCGAGAACTTGACACGTCTAACATCCACCGGTACTCCAGGTAATCTACTCGAATCCACTTCATTCCTAACCGATCGTTCCGGTACAGGAACATCAACAACCGGTTCGGGATCCACCACCACCTCCTCCAACTCAACAACCGGTTCGACCGTCCCTCCCTCAGCGAGGTTCGCTCTACAAACAGGGCAAGTCACGTGAGCCTCAAGCCAAGCGCCGATACAGTGAGGGTGAAACACGTGATCACATTTAGGCAACAAACGCAGCGTTTCGTCGTCTTCAAACTCGTTCAGACAAATCGCACACTCAAGCTCCCCTTTCCCAAGCTTCTGCGTCTTCACCTCAGAGTAGACGAACGTCGGAAAACTCTCCACCACGGAGACGTCTAACCCACGCGCCGCCGCGTTGACGGTTCCTCTGGCTCTACCCACGCCAGCTATTATACATGTGAACTAGTGTAAATGTGATTTTATAAAACAACTAGTGTACATGTGATTTGTTTATAAAATCATATGATATCATACTTTCTTTGTAGATGGATTTGTAAGCATCAATGATTTGTTTGGATTCAAGCACCAGAAAAAATCAGAGTGGGCAACAAATACATTCCTCTTGTTGGAGAAACAATGTATAGTGCTTATGTATTATTGTACAAGTTAATTTTGTGTACATGTGAATCATTATACATATGCATGTATTTTGACATTTAAACATATGAAGGCTGTTCACTTTACTCGTGTACACGAACAAAAGTACATACATAACTTATGTACACATCCACATCATCTGAATTACGTACACATCTCTGTGGTCACCTAATGTATTCGTGTACACTAACATTATGTACACAGCCACGTCATCATTTTTTTTTAAATACTTTTTTTTTTAAATTAGTGGCAATTTTGTAATAATGTCATCTTCTTCAAATTAGGGTTTTCTGTGTTTCTAACAAAGCCACCATTGATTTATGTCGTTCAATTTTCATTATTTTTGTGTTTTTACCTCCAAAATTTACAAATGTTATGCAGATTAATGGATTAGAACTCAAGACCCCCAAAAAAGGTTTTGATTTTATTCTTACCCCTCATGAGTCACGTTGTCTGTCTTTAGTCATGGCTGACGACAGAGATTGAACCGTTCCAGAGTAACATTGGAGACGTGGAGGAAGACAAGACGCGATGGTGCATAGAGTGACCACACGGTCACGACGGATTAAAGACTCTTAATTGAGATAAAAATGTTCTCCAGCCGATTTTTGATTGTTTTAGGTGGTGGTGTTTGTAGGTCAAAGTAGAGAAGAAAAGGATTGAACCCAGATGTGTTTTTGTGTGAGAAGAAACTTACGATGAATGAAAAAGAAAGAGAAATAAAAAGAAAGTGGAGGAAACTAGAATATTTTTTGTAGTTACGTTTAGTTAGAAAAAGAAAGTAAAAGTTACTAAAAACTGTCTGAGGAGCAATAAGTGTCTTGTGGTGTAATAAAAAGTCATAAACTGACTCTGGATGAAAATAACTCACGAAACTACGGCATTGATTGGTAACCATGCGGAATGGCGGAATGGCTTATGAAACGCGATTCCGCAAGAATTTTGCCAATCAACAAAATGTTGCGGAATGAAAAAAAAACGCGAAAACGCAAGTTTGCGTTTTTGCTGACAAAAATATAAAGAGAAAATTTATTAAGTGGAAAAGTGAGTTTTAGTAGATTATGGTGGAAAGATTTACAAACTAATATTTTCATATTATTAAATTATATGCTAATACTATCTTAAAATATAAAATACATATCAATAATTTTTAATGATAAATAATTATGTTGTAAATAAAGTTCTATTATAATTTATATATTAAAAAATCTATTTTTAAAATGTATTGAAAGATATGTTAGATATTTATAATAAAAACTAAAATGTTTTTAATAAATTTTAGTTGTTTTCACTTTTGTAATAATTAGTTTAATTATTACTAGTTGTTTTTTATAACAAATTAAAAACCATATAAAATATTTTAATCAATTTAATATATATTCCGCCATTCCGCAAATTTTAAATTTTTTCACGACTTAATTAATTTTTTCCGCAACTTAACTATTATTTCCGCGATTCCGCGATTACGCGATGGTTACCAATCGGAGCCTACAATTCTAAAACTGCAAATGCTGCGGAATGGTCGAATGCATTTAACACGTCTATACAAAGCAAACTGAACTTCTTTTTTTTTGGTAAAATAAAGCAAACTGAACTTAACCAAATAAAACGTAATCCTTGTCTATAAACTAAAATGTCAGTCACCGTATGGAAACTATAGAACTAAATCAAACTAGTAAAATTTCATTGGATCAGGCAGTTTCTTTACAGGAATCTTTAGACTTCATTATATTAATATTTATAAATTATTTAATTTTAATATGTAATACAAATATAAAATGATAATTCATAGGGAAGTTTAAAATTTTGTGATTGTTGAAAACATTAATAACCACTATAATTTTACGGGTGGTACCAGCAAAACCCAGCAAAATACCAGCAAAACCAACCAAACCTTTTATTTTATTTTTTCTTTGAAAAAACCTTAATTTTACAGATACATTAAAATAATATATACAAAAGTTTATTTGAAATACTCTTTCGAGTTCCATGGATAAAGTTACTCTTACTATCTCAAAAAATTGTTGAAAACCTAGTGGTGAGAACCACACAACCTTCTTTTCTACTTTTTTTATCTTACTTTTCATTTATTAAGTTATATTTTAGAGAGAAACTTCTACGAAATATCATCCGATGATATAAGCTTTGTGTATGTGTGTGTGACAGGCCCAAACCAAAAAAAGAAAAGCTAAACAAAAGTAGCAAGGCACGAATGTCAGCTCTTTTGTTGTTGTTCCTTCCACTTCACAACTTCCCGTGGGCTTTATTGGGCCTTAATTGCGTCGAGTTATGTTGAACTGAGTTTACTTGGCATCCAGATACTTGCATGTTATGCCTCTTGGAGTTATGTTGAAATGAGTTTACTTGGCATCCAGATATTTGCGTTGTTTAAGTATGAGCTAATAAGACGATCGAGTAAGATCTAAGAAAATGCATATGTTGCGCATAGGTAAAACATGTGAAAAAAATAGTTGTGTGCATTGATTACGTTACGGAATATATTATGTCCTTCTAGATTAATATTGACAAATGAAACTTCATTTGCGCCGTGATCTGACCGAACACCTAGTGGCGGTCAATAATGTACATACCTACCATTTTTTGGGGTAATACTGTGTATGTAATATAGTGTACCATTTTTTATTGAAATGACGATTATATTTCTGCAAAAAATAAACAAACTATATTCTATACGCTTATTTATTCTATCTTTACATAGCTATATTCTTTGTCGTCGAATAAGATCTTTTTATATTTCAACAACTCAGAAAACTACCTGCACCACACCGCACCTCATTTTATAAAGCTTTTTATATATTATTTTAGAGAACAGAACTATTTTCTGGATTTGACTTTGATTTATATGTACGTTACAGAATTTAAATACAAAATTAACAATTAAAAATTAATAAAAAATGTATTGCGTGTCTACAAAACAAAAGTTGTAAAAGATGAGAAAAAAAGTAGTAGCTACTAGCTACGGCTAAAGAAAAGTGAGCTAAACCGGTAACCTAACCGAACCGCTGGTTGATCCCCCTGTCCCGGTTGACTTAACCGAAGTTCCTTCGCCGTCTTTATTGACTCCTCTTGGCACATGTACCGAAGAGTTCCTCCACATAAACGACCCGTTTCTAAGAAAACCCCACCGGTCCGACCGTACCGAATCACCGGTTGAATTCACCACAGCATTTCCCCTAACGCTACCGGTACCACCTAGCCTAATCGAACCATCATCCCTACTCCTCCACAGAAACGACGGCGTTTTACGGAACAACCAACGATCAGACCGAGCCCTTGACCGGTCAATCGGTTTACCTCTTCTCGAACTCCCTCCCCTAGAAAGACTATCCGACCGGTTTACCTTCCAATTCTCCATCATCCTCTTCCTCACATCTTCCGGTAACCGGAGAGTAAACCGCTCGGTACATTCTCCCGGTTGAACCACCGAATGTCCCGTAGTATGCGATCTCGAGAACTTGACACGTCTAACATCCACCGGTACTCCAGGTAATCTACTCGAATCCACTTCATTCCTAACCGTTCGTTCCGGTACAGGAACATCAACAACCGGTTCGGGATCCACCACCACCTCCTGCAACTCAACAACCGGTTCGACCGTCCCTCCCTCAGCGAGATTCGCTCTACAAACAGGGCAAGTCACGTGAGCCTCAAGCCAAGCGCCGATACAGTGCGGATGAAACACGTGATCACATTTAGGCAGCAAACGCAGCGTTTCGTCGTCTTCGAACTCGTTCAGACAAATCGCACACTCCAGCTCCCCTTTCCCAAGCTTCTGCGTCTTCACCTCAGAGTAGACAAACGTAGGAAAAGTCTCCACCACGGAGACGTCTAACCCACGAGCCGCCGCGTTGACGGTTCCTCTGGCTCTACCCACGCCAACTGGCGAAACGCCGGTGGCGTCGGGTACGCCGGTGCAGTGACGGAAGTAGATGGAGAAGAAGCCCATGAAGAAGAGAGCAGCGATCAAGATCACGACGATCACTGCCATGGCTGGACTTAAGTTACCGTAGTTATACCTTGCATCTCTCGGATCGGGTTGTCCTTGACCCGCTACAAGCTCCGCCGCTGATAATATAAGCAAGAACACAATCAGTAAAACGTTGGAAAACGCCGGCGTCGCGTGATCTGATCTTCTCATGATTTTTTTTTTTTTACCTCCAAAATGTTTTTTTTTTGTTGATTGTGATTTTGCCTCCTGGAGAAGAAAGTTTATTATTATAACGTCGAAAGAGAGGAGGAAAAGATGGCTGAGAGTGACGTAAGCAATGAGTCAGCACTGAGTAACGTGGCAATAGAAGCGTCGTTCAGATTCAGTCAATAAACGTGACTTTTGTGTTTGTTTTCCAAGTAAAACTAATTTGGTGCGAGTTAGCTATGTTTCAAATTTTTTCAAAACATCACATGACAAGAAGAGTTAACTATGTTTGCATATTGTTTCGGACATCTTTTAACTATGCTAAATTTCTTTATATAGGCTTTATTCATTGGATGTCGGACTGTTTTGGGGTATAATAATAATTCAATTTCAACTACTATCCAGCGTCTCTTTTAAATATGCCATAACAATTGACTCGTTTTCATGTATTATTTGGATATTTGAAAACATCTTGTGATTATAAAAAGGCCAAGAATATACTTGCCACTCAAGTAAAAGAAAATGCAACTAGGCGACAAAACTCCTAAAGAATCGGGTTCCAAAGTTACACATGGAACTTTATAGACCATTAGCTTTTGTGTGTGGCCATTAGCAAGTGATGCTTTTACCAAATATACCTTCCTTTTGGTCCTGTTGAAGCCTTTATAAATCGTAAACAACGAACATAATTGACTTTAACGGATGTTTGGGCCCTTCCGAGTTGTGAGTTCAATAAGCAACGAAGATAACAGTCGGTGGTGGAAGCAAAACGCAGTCAGATTGGAACAATATTATCGCAAGTCCACACACTTATTAATATAAGCAATCTTTAATTAAAATCACTTAAAAATATTATAATTGGAACAATAATAACAGCCAAAGGGTGTAATGATAGTTCTAAATCGCAAGTCCACACAGAAGCTACAAATCGTTTAATTGTTTTAATTCTTTTGTTCCCTAATACGACATTCTTCACGAACACCAAAAGACACGACGACGCTAGAACGACCGTTCAATCTCCCGGAGCATAGATCGCGTCCGATCATATGGACAAATATAGAAGTAGACACGCCACTAGGTGAAGACCTGTTGGAGGAGATCAAGGCGTGGTGACGAGCTCCTGCCTCATGTGCCTGAAGCAGGCCGGAATATGTTAACTGGTCTTTTGATCTGGTGTTGTCGTATATGCATACGGCCGTGTCGAGGTTCCCTTCAGATTCGCCGTGACGTACGAGGATGGTCCGCTTTGGAAGCCGCTTGTTGTCTGGACTCGGAAGATGAAAAAGGAGTAAAGATTTTAGGGTTTTTCTTCACGTAAGAGGCACGTTATTATTAAACCAAGGTGCAAATGGTTGTTATTTGTGGTCAACTGTGTGTATTATTGTTACATCATCAATCATAAAGGGATAAAACTATAGGACATAATCTTTTTGTTTTTCATCAAGAAGTACTTATTCGTTTTTTTTGATCGGCTATAAAGAAAGACTATGAGCAACTTTATATAACAACAAAATATGATAATGTTTTAAATTACAAAAATATTATTCAAGCCTTTTCCATTCCAGTAGAGAGAACTAACCATATGTTTACAAGTATACCACCAGATCTCTCTTCTTCCTTATATAATAAAAGTAGCTATAAAACTCGATAAATACTTCTATTATCTGTAGTGTTGGTACTATATGTTTTTGGGTGCAAAAGAAAGGTATCTGGTTCTCTTATGCCTCCCCAATATGTGTTGGTACTATATTTCAGTTATAGAATGCAGAGGTGGAATATTAACATTAACCCAATCTGTGTGTTGTGTAATGGGTAGGATGAGACGTGCCAGCATTTGTTCTTCAGGTGTGGCTATACTAAACTGATATGGAGAAATTTGGTGGGAGGAATTCTTCAAAGGAGCTTTACTACGGACTGGGATGAGATTATAGAGATTATCTCAAGCTCACGGTGGACTACCACTAAGATGTTTCTTATTAGGTATGCTCTGCAGGCCGCGGTCCACGCTATTTGGAGAGAACGAAACGCTAGAAGGCATGGAGAACTTGCTCAAACAGCAGACTGTATAACAAGATTTGTAGACAAGATTATTCGGCTCAAGCTCATGCTGGTTCAGGGACAGGGACATGAGTATTTGGAGAAAGGTGTAAGCACTTGGTTTGGTACAAGACCAATGGATACTAACATGTGATTTGGACCTGAAGCCCTCGATGATGATTTCTGAAGCTCGTGGTCTTGCTCAAGGGGGATTGTTTTGGGTTTGGTTTTGTTTTTGTTGGGGTTTCTTCCCTGTTTTCGTTTTGTGTCCTTTGCCATGATCTTCACTCTTTTTCCCTTGTTTGAGTTTTATCCCATGGGGTTTTCTCAAATAAGGTTTTTAAAGAGGATTCATGGCACTCAAGTTTGATTACTTGGGTATCAAGCTTGAGTTTCTTTTTGTTTTCAGAGTTTGTAAGGTTTCTTTTCTAGGTCCTTTTCTAGGAAAACTGATGCACTTGTTGTAAAATGGTTTTGATTGAATAAATTTTACATTCATTCAAGAAAAAAAAAAGTCTTTTGATCCCATATTAGCAAAGAAAATATCAATTTGTGTCAAAAGGGTATACGAAGGTAATATTTGAAGGAGATAGTCTACAGCTTCTCGATTTGGTGTTGTTTCAGGTTCTGTAATTGGTAAAAAAAAAAATCAGGTTCTGTAATTGGATTAGGTAAATCCAATTCTGGCGGGTCGTTTTGAAGAATACGTGTTTGCCTTAGACAGCACGAAACTATAACAAGGTGGCAGATTCTCTTACATCTTTCATTATTATGTACAAATCTCGGGAAAAGGGCCTATTCCTACCCGAACAATTTCAATCGTGCCAAATACAACCCGAACAAATTTTCAGTGCCAAATACAACCTGAACTACGTTATAATGCAAAAATACTACCTGAACTTTTTAAAACGTGCCTAAACCTACATTGACCGTAACAGAAGTTAGTCAACCGTTAAAATGATAAAACGACGTCGGGAAAAGGGTCTATTCCTACCCAAACAAATTTAATCGTGCCAAATACAACCCGAACAAACATCCAGTGCCAAATACGACCTGAACTACGTTATAATGCAAAAATACTACCTGAACTTTTTGAAACGTGCCTAAACCTACATTGATCGTAATAGAAGTTAGTCAACCGTTAAAATGATAAAACGACGTCGTTTTTATTCTATTATTAAAAATGAACATTCCGGGACTCGAACCCGGGTTTTGTCACTAAAACATACACATCAACCACTAGACTAAAGCAATTTTTTAAAAAANTAATGCAAAAATACTACCTGAACTTTTTGAAACGTGCCTAAACCTACATTGATCGTAATAGAAGTTAGTCAACCGTTAAAATGATAAAACGACGTCGTTTTTATTCTATTATTAAAAATGAACATTCCGGGACTCGAACCCGGGTTTTGTCACTAAAACATACACATCAACCACTAGACTAAAGCAATTTTTTAAAAAATATTACCAATTTGCAATTATATATGCTACTATACTTATTAATCTTCTCTAATTAAAACTTTTGTTATTATTATTTCCGATTCTTATAAATATATTAACATATCTTGTAATTATTATATCTTCAATAAACTTATATTATACTAATATATAAATAATAAAATATTTATAATCATACAAAATTAAATATATTTCATGTTTTTCAACTATTTACAAAATGTCCATATATAAATTATTTTAAAATAAAACTTAATGGTAATTTATTTTATTTTGGTAAAGTATATTCAGCTTGAATTAATTTTAAGAAACAAAAGAAATTAGTATTTATAAGCTTATTAAATATGTTAATATATTAATAAGAATCAAAAATAATAATAAGCAAAGTTTTAATTAGAGAAGATGAAAAAGTATAAAAGCATATATATAATTGCAAATTTGTAGTACTATTTAAAATAATTGCTTTACTCTAGTGGTTGATATGTCTGCTTTAAATAGTGGCAAGGTCCGAGTTCGAATCCCGGAATGTTCATATTTTTAAAAAAATAATGAAATCGAAACGACATCGTTTTATCATTTTAAAGGTTGACTAACTTATGTTACGGTCAATGTAGGTTTAGGCACGTTTTAAAAAGTTCAGGTAGTATTTTTGAATTATAACGTAGTTCATGTCGTATTTGGCACTGATGTTTGTTCGGGTTGTATTTGGCACGATTAAATTTGTTTGGGTAGGAATAGACCCGACGTCCTTTTATCATTTTAACGGTTAACTAACTTCTGTTACGGTCAATGTAGGTTTAAGCACGTTTTAAAAAGTTCAGGTAGTATTTTTGAATTATAACATAGTTCAGGTCGTATTTGGCACTGAATGTTTGTTCGGGTTGTATTTGGCACGATTGAAATTGTTTGGGTAGGAATAGGCCCTTTTCCCTACAAATCTCTATTGTAAACTTCCTCCATGAGGACCATATTTCTGCATCAGTGGCATGTTTGTCAAAAAAGAAAAAGAAAAAGTTAACTTCTTAGTTCCAATATTTGTAGCCCAATAAAAATGTGTTGAGTCTATTGGGCTTTACATAATCTTTTAGGCCTATATAAGTGTAACCTCAGTTTATTACACACACATTCGCCAGCTACGAAGACTCAGAACCTTCCTTTTGCGGACAACCCTAGTTCGTTGATTTCTTTTTCAAAGGTTCCTTAAGCCTAACAGATGTAGATTATAGTATTAGCAAAAACAAAGTTGACTGAATGATTAATTTGCATCCAATGATGGCAATGTTCCGAGTAGTGTGGATCTTACTCACGTTCAACACCCATGCAAATTGACTAACTTTTTGATCTAATTATCAAGTTTTGGGATACAAGTTTGGAAAAATTAAAGTCTTTCATTACGATTACAAATTTACAAGTTGATGCAGACGGTTTCCTTAACTTCTGCAAAAACATTTTTTAGAAAGGGAAGAGAGATGTTTTCTATGAGTGATTAATGAAGTACCATTTGTGAAAAAGACCATATTAGATATATAATATGTCACTGTTACGTCCAGAGATGGAACTTTGGACCACCTAAATATCTATAAAATATATCTTGTTCAATAAAATATGGTAACTAAAAGAGTGCGTTTGACAAAACGCAACATCATATAACAAAAATAATAATAATAAGAAACAACTAGAAACGACTAGAACATAATTATCGGTTGCCAAATCATATATATAATTTTTCATAATTTTAACATTATAATAAACCAGCATTATAAAAAAATACCTAGATTTTGTTATACAAATCCATATATGTATTGTTTAACTTTTAAAAACATAACGTATATGTTTATTGTACATAAATATTAGTAAAGAATTATTACTTTCATTGAATGTTTTTTTATTTTATTATATGCTAATTATATACAGTATTAAATGTTTTTTATTTTCACAATTTTAGCGCATATATAATTATTAATAATACAATAATTATTTGAATTGTTATTTAATTTTATATTACTTATGTACATCAATTATTTAAATATAGTAAATATATATATATATATATATATATATAATTGAACACTTATTTTTGGATATAAAAAATTGATAAGTTATAATATTTACGAAATGGTAAAAATATTTTATATTTTTTACATCATATTATTTGTATTAATTTATATACATACATTTGATTATGGATAAAATTGTATTTATTTATTTTAAGAAAGAATTTATTAAAATATACTCTCATTTGAAACAATCATTAATGTTGATTATATATAAAATTAATTGATTTTTTTAAAAAAGAGATTTTTTTAAAAAATAATTATACATAAAAATTATAATTAATTAATTTATAGTGAAATAAGGTGAAATTAAAAAGTTATTTTAACGTTAGTTTATATTAGTACTTCAAATTTAATATGATAGATTGGTTCTGCTGACCGCAGATTCATGGAAATGGATATATGTGTTTATGTCATTTTCGCTCTTGTTCCTTTCAGCCATCTTACTTCTAAAATGAACAGTTAATATGAAGACCAAGTCTAAATTAATATACTGGTGTGGTTTTTGGGTATAAACAATATATCAGTAAACTTTAACAGAAGAATATCTATAAACTTTGATAGATTAACTTATAAAAATGTTTCTAATATGTTCGAATTTGGATAATTTATTTCTAAAATATTCTACTTTATCTACATAAGATTATTGGTAACAAGTATTACAAAAATGGGAAGGAAGAGAACAAAATAATCTAAAAGTTGTATTCAGCACATAGAACGAGCTAAATTCACTTTGATGTACTGAAAGTTATCATTATTTTCTTAATGAAAAGGGACAAACAATCCAGATGTTATATTTTAAAATAGTAATATTTTGGTTTGAAAAAAATGAAACGTGTTTAATAACAAGACCACTTGTGTAAATCAAGAAGCA